GTGTGCAAAATGTACATGACATTTGTAACACTCAAACACGGTCAGTCTCTTGGCCTGCATGACAGCACTATTTGTTAGCAGAGCAATCATGTTTGGGGGTCAGGTGAGAGGAATGGTTAATAAATTATGAAGAAATGTTGAAAGAGCCCCCCAACCCCCTACCCCCTGCCTCTGGGGGTCAAGAGGAAGGGTGATAATTTGTTTGGTACAATTTTGACGCAACACCATAGGGTAAGAATTTTGATTCAATGTTGGGTAAACGTTTTACGCAGAAATTGAGTAAAATTTGACGCAACCCCTGTTGCGTAGCGTTTTACCCCGCCAACGACCATGTTCCCTTTTTACCACCACAAAGAGTACAATTTTACGCAACATTGGGTACTTTTTTCTAAGAGTGCAGTAATACAATTTGGCACATTCGCTCGCATGACCAAGTAGAGTATACTGAACAGTGGCGTATCCAGATTTGTTGCCAGTGGGCAAACGACGTCTGAATCGTACAAACACGTCTTAAAATAAACCTATTTTGCTTTGTTTTGAATTATGAAGCCTTAATATGCCCCAACTTCCCCCGGGGGAGGGGTTTGAACATTTCGCCCCCTCTGCGGGTGGATATGCTACTGGTACTGAACTTTAAAAATACCCCAACAACTGTAAACATCGCCAATATCAACGAAACAAAGTAAATTTTAACAAGCGAATACCCCAACCCAAAAGTGTTGAAATGAAACAGGAAATGCCATAACGATTATCTCTCCGTCTAATGTGCCTAAAACATTGCCTATAAAATCGTCACCGTTTTCACGAACAGCCACATACTATATATATTATGTTAATTTTGAAGAAAAGTGTTTTCGAGATAATCGCAAAAGAAGTTTCTCATATTTTAAAACTGCAAGAAATCCTACTTTGCAACAACTTTGTGCAGCAAGAAAACCATCACACGATTCTACGTGAGCTGAAGTTTTACATAAACCCGGTAATTAGACTTAATACAGCAGTTAATTAGTGAAAATTAATTAGTAAAGATATGTGGCTCTTTGTGAAAACGCAAATTCACGTTTCCGACATATTGGCCCTTTCTGTTCATCGTGTATTTCCATAGGCGCGCGTGAGTACGCGCGCGCAGCTGAAAATGTAACAAAGATATGTGGCTCTTCGTGAAAACGCAAATCTCATTTGACCTACTTTTACGTATTTCTGTGCAATGGGTTTTGTACGCGTTCAAAGGGCCAAAATGTATGTGGCTGTTCGTGAAAACGCAAAATGCATTTATCGAGATTTCTGCCCCTAGCAACATTAATGTAACTTAGAAATTAATGATGTTTTGCTTACAGAAACATGTCAAAATGGTTAAGTACATTGTTTTAATAAGAAATATTGAAAAAAATCAAAATCAAAAAAATTGTAATTTTGGACATATGTGGCTCTTCGTGAAAACGGTGACGAAATGTGTTCCTATTAAGAAAATACATGAAAATAAAACACATTGAATGCATGAAAAAATAATGTCTTCTACTGAAGATATCATAATGAAATTTAACAACTTGAAAAAAATTGCATTTTGTGGCCTTAGACGAGTTTAATTTCTGAAAACCATGGTTTGGCGTACAGGAGACGAAATCGAATAGTTCGGGACGATAACGTGTGCGCGTTGTTTGAATTTGCTTGAACTAAATTTTAATTGTCTGACAAAATATCAAATTAAACATGAAAATTGTACTAAATCAATGTTGATTGACAAATTCGCATATTAGAAATGGTGAATTCAAATGACAAACCTTTTTTTAAAATAGCCTGGAAAACCTGTATTACTTTAGGTTGTTTGCTTGTTGGTTTATATTTTTTGTTATTGTCGAAATCATGTCGTTTATTGACATTTATACTTGTTATGTTAATAGCAAGACAAAAAGACAAAAATATACAATTTATATACACGACAAAAAGAAACGATTTTATAGGAACAGATTGCGAGAATATTTCGCAAACAAAAAATGCTGCAGTAAAATTAATTGTTGTATATAATATTATATTTCTGGATTGTAAAGATGTCTGAATCTAATAATATAAACGCAACTGTTATGTTGAAATTAGAAAACTTGTTTTGCAAATTGTCTTTCAGGTAACACCTTTGAACAAACCCCTCGTGTACAAAGTTTAAACAATTATGCAAATGTTAACTGTCTAGTATGTATGCTTTCTTGTCATTTTACTTGTTACTTTAGTCAGCATTATACATTAACTCTATGGTACTGTGATTCAATGTAAGAGTTAATATTAGCGTAATATACTTCATATACAAATGTGTAACTATATTAGTAGTGGTATCAGTAATGTATATCCGGAATCTGCACACATTTAAAGTACAGTTTATAAGTCTTGCGCACACGCCTACTTGCGCACAACGTATAAGCTTAAATGTATACCGGTGTTGACTGTGTTAGCAGTAACAATTAAGGCCCGCTCTAAAGTGGGACATCTGCTGTGTCAAATTCCATTTTGTGCATTCGGAAAAAAACCCGGCAGAAGTGAGGCAGTCGCTCTAAACGCCAGTTTTTTTTGCCGAACGTAATTCGTTCATTCAAGATGGCGGACCAAGAGAAGAAACATATGATTCTGCAACATTTTATCTGCTAGAAGATAACGCGCTCTCCTTCATCAATGCATTCTTTTTGAGGCCATTTTTTTTGCTCAGTAGTTCTGCTACTACTTGTCGCTCGAGAAAACCTCACGATATCGGTATCCTGTCGGCGTTCAGCCAAAAATACCGGATGGCTGGATTTGCTGCCTAATCCGTATTCAGAGAAAAGATTCAAAAAGGCATTTTGCGTATCCAATGCAACCTTCGAATTCATACTTTCACGAATTAATCATGATTTTGAGTGGAACACTGTCAGAGAAATCCCAATTTCTCTGAGGCATAAGTTTGGGATTTGTTCTGCACAGACTGGCTAGAGGAGGTTATAATTGTACTGTTGCTGAAATGGCTGGTGTAGGTGCGTCTACGGTCCCAGCCATTGTTGCAAAAGTTAGTGAATCCATCATCAGAAATATGTGGGACATATCGGTCACCCAACTGTTTCCCCAAAATGAAGAGGAGTTCATCACCAAAATGGTGGACATGGAAGGGCTGTGGCAGTTTCCTTATTGTTTGGCGGGCTATGCGCATGCGCGTTTTAAAGCGGGACCACTGTGTTTCTGAATTGGGACGTGCGAATTGAATTCCACACTGCAGAAATTTGACGTTTAGAGCACTGCCGCTCTTCTGCCGTTTTGAGCGGCAAGCCTTGCCGAACTTACGGCCGAAGTGTGGCAGTTGCTCTGGGCGTCGAATTGTTGCCGTGTCGAATTCAAATAGAGTAAATTTTAGGGCCATCATTTGAATTCGAGACTGCAGAAGTTCAACGTTTAGAGCGGGCCTAACTTAAGGTTTACACTTATTTTAGATATTTCATGCGCCATGCTAGATTTAGACTTCTATGTGCACGTTTAATAAAGATAAAAGTATTTTGGTAAACAAAGTATGTGTCATATTTATTTGCGGCAGTTATCCTTTTTTACTCAAAACATTTACTAGGTGTATAAGCTGTATATTCGATATCGCTGACGATTTTTTTTCTATTTGGCAGTACACAAATGTTAAGTAAGCATTAACGACAGATTTTATGTAAAAAAGTTTACATTAAGTGGTACAAAACGTGAGCCTTGCATCATGTTTTGTGTTAGCCTGTCGATTCTTGTCCTCGTATTTGATAACAAGTTTCCCGGAGAAAGCGACAAGTATGACGGCCTTTCTAGTTAAGTCTTCCTGTTTTGTTTTTTTTGACTAAAAACAATAAGGATTAAATGCAGCCAGAAAGATATGTAAATATTGCCTTATATTGAATATTGATTAGGAATAGAAAGCTACTGCGAGTGTATCAATAATCCAAAGTAACGATTATCAATTTATTTACAAAAAAAGGTCCAAATGAGTAACATTCGCAGTCTAAACTTCCAGTTTTTTTCTTGCTTTCTTTCAGAAAAAGGTTTATGTTAACCTCTCGTGCACAGTCCCACGATATAGGCCTTATCATTTGTTCCATTAGAGGAGTTACATAATTATATCTAGTGGATATTGTTTGTTTAGGTTACATTTTGCACTAAATAAATGTAATGATGCAAAAGCAGCTAAACTGAAGTTTGTTGTTATGTTTCCATATTTCAAAACTATACCATGTTGTTAATTTGTTAGGAAAACAAAATTACAAAAAATAAGAAATAAAAACAATTATACCATGTAGCCAAGCTATATGTAACATTTAGCGGCTGCCTAAATACACATAATAAAGAACGGCAGACCAATCTTCTATAACACACAGCATACATATTGAACGCAAAACTATCAGCCAAATGAAGATTAATATTGGTGGCTTTAATTACATTTTACATGAATAAGTCTACGAGAATGACGTTTTAGTGAGCTTACTTACTCTGGTTACAAATAAACAAGTAATACATGGGTAAGCCTAACTTTCCTATCAAACCGCAGTTACTTGTTTGTTGTTACGCAACTCCTGAATAAATTCCCGTCATCTGATATGTGGGTCGTTGATCAAATGTCATTGAATTATACGTCCCCTAACCAGAGTTCATATTTTCCACGGTAAATAGAAGTTCCATTGCAGGGTCACACGATTGGTGGCTCTGACCAATGAGATGACGAGAATTCATTCAGGTGTTGTATAAGACAAATAATAAATGTTTCTCATTCGTGCAATGGTATGACCCATTCCACATGGGCTTCGCCTCATAGACTGGACTATTTTATCTGTAATATCATGATATTTATTTAATCATTGAACTCAACTTGCATTGTTTGTATAGGAAACAAAAACTGTCTTTAGGCTAATTGCCTGTTTTGCGTTCCGTGGTACCTTTTTTAATTAACTGCTATGATATAGCAGAGAAATATATTTCAAGAAAATTAATTTAGGCTGCCCCTTCCTGACTAAAGGGGTTTAGCCTCTCGTATAACATTTGATGCCATCTAACTGGTAGCTTATCTCTCCCGGAGGTGTCACCTGCTCGAAATGTAGCGCAACCACTGGCAAACGGGTCTTATCCTTGAGTGTGCCGTCGTCGATTGCCCAGGTGTCTTGCACGCCGCCACAGTTGCAAAGGGACGAGGAACCCCCTTCGCAAGCTTCAGACGAAAAAATAAAACAACAACAACAACCAAAAAATATGATATGACACGGTACGACACGACGTGACATGAAACGAAACGATATGTGATGACATGACATGACATGGCATGATTATGACATGATATGACATGACATGACATGGCATGATTATGACATAATATGGCATGACATGCAATGAAATAAACATGATATGACATGACAAGACACGACAAGACAAGATATTTCATCACATGTCCGGTCATGGTGTATAACAAAATTGGTCATTACCCGATTTTAAACGGCACGACTTGACACCAAATAATGTGACTTTACTTACTTATTGATGATGACCAGTGGCAACTGCATCCATCATTTCCGGTAGCTACACCGCCCCAGTTGGTCATTTGCCCTCCTTGGTCTGACACCCACCAAGCCAGCTGGGTGCTTCCATCCCACAACTTGGCGTTCTTACACGTGGCCTTCAAATATTGGGTGCAAATCGTCGACATGTCGATCAACAATTGGATCTGCCGAAACGACAACCATAAAAAAATGGTTGTGATGAAAATGCTTTAACGACCCTTTGTGTAAAAGGTTATCTGTTTAGGGCCAAATGCATGTTGGCCCAATCCAACCCACTCCACCCCCACTAGGGCGAGTGGGGAAGGCGAAAAAATTTTTTTTTAGCTGTTTAAAAACCAAGATAAGGCAACTTCTTAAGCCCCAGCTCAAAAACAAAAAAGGAGACCAAAACTACAAAGATGGACTCTTGGTACAAACACTTTCCATTAACATTATGCTAACGAGATGTTTGTTTGGATGGCACATGTTCCTATAAGTTTTAAAATCAGATTAAGACTATTTGGGAACCGGGGGATTGACCCAATTCCGAAGTCTGATTCTGAGCTCTGACAGAAAGCAGCTTCATTTGAAGTCTGGCCATTGTTAAACAGTTGTTTGATGAGTTTGGTGAGATAAACCGTGAATTGTTAAGGCTTTTTGGAATTACATGGAATTACTTTGGAATTACATTACAGCTTCAGGGTTTGTTCTATTTATATATAGCTCATGCAACCGCGTTCGATAGAAATTGCAAGTAGACCAGTTGCAGGAATCAAAATATTGAACTACTTTTTTTTTTCAATACGAGGACACATGTTGAATTTCATTGGGAATGTAACTTGGTAAAATTGTCATACTAGAAAAACAACTACTCACTGATATTAGTAAACCCATTGAAGTATAAAGAAAATCAATGATCTGGAAGGATAGTACAGTGTGCTTTTTGTTTTTCAAAAGTCTTTTTCCCCCGAAAAACGTGGCATTACCATTAGGACGGGCGTCGTTGAGAAGCTAAGGCTTTCCCTGGTACCCCTCCCCCTATGGAATAATGAAACTTGAAATCTTCTTCTTTGCCACTTATGGGAACAGTCATGTCTCGAATCAGATATCTCATATCTCGTCAAATTAATTACCTAACATTTTGCAAAGAGAAACGGACACACACTAGATAAACTACCTGGTTTCCATTGGCGAAGTAGCTTATATTGACGTCGAACGGGTATGACGTCACATTCAGTGACTGACCCGAGGTAGAGTGGTCCAACGTTGTGCATATGCCATCTTTAAATAAAACATCAGAAAGTAATATAATGTGCCTTAAAACAGTTAATCACTTTTTGTTTCTTTTCATTTTCTTTGAGATCAAAATTCCTATGCTAAGGGATAAGGCAACATAAACTAATCGGATGGACACGTTGTGCTTCGTACGGATTTCACATGGTTTTTTTTTCTTCAGTTCTTGTATTCTTTACCATATTGGTAAAATACAATGCCGGGGTTTGCACAGTGAGTAAGAAGATTACCTTTTATTGTAAAGCAATGTACAAAGAACGGCTCTTCCCCACTGTCTAAGCCATCGGGATCAATCATGTAATAGCCGTCGGTTGTGTAGCCAGCCTGTTTTAGGGCAAGACAGGATTCCCGTATCGGATCTAGTTAAATTGAAAGAGAGATATAGAGGGAAAAGCCTTTAAAATACGAAATTTAAGCTGTAAAAATTAAGAATAATCATTTGAAGTTATTTTCGCAATTATTAGGTTTTTTAGTTGAGTTAAGTAGAAACCGATTGTTGGATTTATCTAATAGTTGGATAGTCATAACAATTTCAAATAAGTATGATGATGCGGTACCTGTGGGTATTATAACCTCTGTAGTGTGTCCCAAGGTGGTTTGTTCTCTTGTCCTTGTTTCTATTGTGGCTGGTTCCGTTGAAATTCGTTCCGTTGAAGTTTGTTCGATTGTAGTTGATTTTGCTGTAGTTGGTTCCGTTGTGGTTGGCTCCATTGAAGTTGGTCCCGTTGTAGTTGGTTCCGTTGAAGTGTGTTTAAAAGTAGTTGGTTCTATTGTAGTTGATTTTGTCGTAGTTTGTTCCGTTGTGGTTGGCTTCATTGATGTTCGTTCTGCTGTAGTTGGTTCCTTGGTAGTTGGTTCAGTTGTTGTTGTTTCCTTGGTAATAGGTTCCGTTGCGGTTGGTTCTATTGCAGTTGGTTCCGTTGTAGTTTGTTCCGTTGTGGTCGGCTCCATTGATGTTCGTTCTGCTGTAGCTGGTTTCGTGGTAGTTGGTTCAGTTGTGGTTGGTTCCGTCGTAGTTAGTTCTGTTGTGGTTTGTTCCATTGTAGTTGGTTCCGTGATGCTTTGTCCGATCGAAGTTGGTTTAACTGCAGTTGGTTCCTTTGTAGTTGGCTCCATCGTAGTTAGCTCCAGTGAAGTTGGTTTCGTAGTATTATGTGTACTAATAATGAGTTCCATTGGAGTGCTTTCTTCCAAAGTAGGTTCATTAAGCTTAAATGTATCAGTAGCCCCACTCGACATCTGAATTGTTGACTCCTTTAGTGGTACTTTCCCAATAGAAGTAGATGTCTCAGTAGTTCGTTCATCAGAATCTTGGGTATTCAGATAATCCATATCTGCGTTCTGTAAATCAAAAAACAAATATTTACACACGTTATTATATCTTTACATGATTTCAATACTCAGTCATTTCTAATTTTTCGCTTGCTCCTTTTTTTTTTTGGGGGGGGGGGTGGGGGTGGGGTAGTTTAATGCCTTTTCGATACAAAACAGGTAAAATGTATTTTATTTTTTCCTAAATTTACAGTTATACACCGACATTTCCAGAAGTCTAGAACAAGTTTACGGTTATATCGACGATGATACCATTTCTATTTTGAAAGTCCAAACTCACCATCATTTCGTAGTACTTGAAACGGGCATCCTGTTTCAATTTATCTGAGTGGTCGCGGGTCTTGTTCCGGTTCAGCTCGCATCGGCTCAGTTCCTTTGCGTAGTTGAACGAGACGCAGCGGGAATGCTTGGCACAGAGAGCCGAGCAACGCACGGCTGAACCGACGGCAGATTTCTCGCTGAAAACGCTCCCCGTCAACCTCCTACTCTCCTGCGTGGCAAACTGACAATGCAGACCTTTACTTGCGCAGTGGCACAAGAAGGCACTGGCAAACATGCTCAAAAGTACGGCAACTGACTGACGTAAATGAACCATTTTAAGAAGATTCGAAAACCCAAACAACCAGACAATTCAGATGACTTACACAAATGACTGAAACTTGTTCCCGACGTACGATACTTGCAGAGCCATTGTGATATTTGATTATGTTTCACAATTAAGCTTTATCATACCTCAGCCTCACGGGGTTTTTTTTCTGGAATGGTGTACAGATAAACAAATGGGAAAATGTGGTACTTCCCAATTTTGGTAAGGATGCCTACAATGTTAGGAAATGGATTCCCACTAGCTGACTAATTTTACAAAAGTTAGCCGACAATGCCAATTTTTAAACAACCAATTTGTGGAAGGCGGATTTGGTAACAATAGTTTTAATTCCAATGGCCAATAGCAGCCTCGAAGCTTACCGTAGTGATTCGAGAGAGTGTTCTCTTTTTTTCCTTTGGTAAGTTTACGGACAAACCACTCAGCCTTAGTCGATTGCTCTTCACATTTTAACCTGTTCAGTAATCGTTAACTGTTATATCATCGTCAGTCTCGAGGGCAGGTGTAGAGGACGGAATTATTTGGCTTCAATGAATTAGAGATAATTGGACAACTCTGTATTTTGAGTAAAAACAATGATCGCAGCCTTGTTTGAAAATCAATATTGATCGGTAGGAGGACACGCGCAAGATGCCAATAAGGTCATTTGATAGCGGCTAGATTTATTTATAAGGAAAACACAAGGATACTTGTCAGCAAATATTAATACACTTGATTTTTGAGATGTGGATCACTAACCAATTCACTGTAAAAACTGTGTTGAGCAATTAACTCTTTTCTAAACACTTTCTTGCTATTAGTTTGTAACATGTTTGCGCAGAGTGACCTGATGCCTTTTGAGCATGCGGTGACCCAATTTTTTGAATAAAAAAAATGACGGCCAATGACAGTCACCTCCTATCTAATCCTCATTCAACCCTTGCCAAATCAGCTGGTTCAGTGAACGTTTTTAGCAAGGCTACACCCAAGCCGTGTCAACAAACTTTCGCCCTTGGCTCCTGCCAAGTCCCATTGAAACATATACAAACACCGCAAACCACCCCTAGTCAAATATCTTTACAGTGAACTGTATGGCAACTGTCTGGCACGGCTTTTTGTTGTATTGTTATGAATAGGGTCTTGCGGTTTGCGGACATATACCTGCTGCCCAAACGGACGCCATTGACGACTCCAAGTATGCTCTTTTTGTAAACGCTGCGCTGGGTTAAATACTTATAATGTTTAGAGTAAGGATGGATAGTCTAATAGCGATTGAACATTGGCGTTTAGGCACTGGACACGTAATATTAAGCGTCTAAACATGTTTACAAAGTGTTTGTGTGAGAATCAACCAGGGACAGTCTTAATTACTTCTTCAAACCCTCGAATGGTCAAGATATTCCAATTATTTAATGAGTCTTTTGGGCGGTCATTTGTAATTGTCCATCTGTAATTAGTTCATAAACAAACCTCTTTCTATCAGTTTTCTGAAAGTTTGTATACATCAAATAACGTTTGATTATAAATATTATTTGGGAGATCGTGCAGTCAAGTTCATATTAATTATTTTAATTACAATAATTACAATATTGGATAATTAAATACTACTTGCAATATTCTATGAAACTTTTTTTTGTTTAATAATGTTTCCATGGCCTCTGACCACCCTTACCAACATTGCAGATACCAAACCTTCCCCACTTATACGATTCATTGCCCCAAAAACAACTGCTTGACGTATTGTATGACTTGTCATGTAAAGCCTCGACTTTACGTCGGTGAAGGCCAAAACCAATATTGATCTACCATATCTAAGCATGGGTCTCCATCTCCCAAGGAATGTATGAGCCAACTCAGTTCTCTATATGTTTACAAGCAACTGATTGTATTTCCGTGCTTCCTGACACGTAGTAGTAAACCAAGTAACCTAAATATAAATGAAGTAAACAATTCAAACGAAATAAATGATCTGAAATAATAATATGAAAACTCTAGCAAATTAAATGAATATAAAACCTGAAAAAAATAAAGAAGAAAGCACGGAGGCATTTTCTTGTAGCGAAAACATGTACATAAATGCCTTGTGCAAATAATATATAACCGATAACAAAACACACACAGAGATTCACGAAAAACGCACATAATGACAACAACATGGACTAACACAATAACACGACTGCTGAGAACAAAACAAAAACACACAAACCCACAACTGTACAACTTGTTGAAAACAATAAACATGGCGAGGAAAGGGGAGATTAAAATTATTAACAAATAGCCAATGAGATCAAAGAAGCTGTGTTACACTATTTGAGATTAAAGTCCTCTTATAATGTCTTTTGAAGAGAAAGGACACCTCTTGTATGCAGTCATGATATAAAGCTTACAAACTCGTGAGGCATCAATCCTGGGGCATCTATGATTTAGGGAGAGTAAACAAAACAAAGACATATTTGTCATTTTGAAATCTTCTGGCTGCTCCCATCTTCAAAGGTTAATGAAGAAGAGAACAATTTTTTTTTTACAGTTCTCCAAGAGGCAAGTTGTATACTTTCTCGACGCCAATCATGGACAGAATCCTAGCTATGCTAGATGCTGTCTGATATACTCACATTGCAATTACAAAACAAAATGCTCTAAACAAAATGCAATCTGACTGAATGTTGTCAAGCAAAACGAATACAGTTGTATGAACGAATAACCAAAGAGCATTCGAATATTGATCATGTTTTATTTTTGTTTTTATCAACAGTTTTTATAAAAGCATTGGCATACAACACAATTACATTGCTGCAAATCGTGTGGTGTTTTAAAGGACATTTTATAATTTTATAGGAGTAAAAAAAAAAAGATCGCTATGCAGATTAGATATATTACGCTTCATGAAAATGTAATGCGGCGGTCATAGCTAAGTGTAATAAAACCAGAGTCGCCATGACCTGCAACTGATTATTTTGTGGGTGTGTGTGGGTGTCTTAGTGTGAGTTTGTGTTACATACCCTATGTGGACTTGTGAACAAATGAGGTCCACATAATGTAGGTTGTGTTAACCTTATGTGGACTAAGCCGTGTCCACATAAGGTTTTGCCCTTTCTTGAAAACAGGTTTAGAGGCATTTTTGGGTTAGGTTTATCGGTAGCAGAATGAAGAGAAACACTATAGGGAATCATAGAACAACAATTGGGTTAAAAGAGTTTTCACAGTTTAAGTAAAGTTATTTTTTGTACCGAGTTTTCTTAACTACACGAAAACATAACAATGTCCACACAAGGTATGTAACGTAAGTCTGCGTTTGTGTTCACCGCCAAATGCGGACGCACTCAGGGTTTTATACCTTCAAACCGCGGACGTACCTGCAATGGGGGACGGTCCGCATTTGAGATAGGTATCGTTTCCGTCATTTAACAGTCAAGTGGGGGCGCTCTATGAATTGCACGTTCATCTGAAGCCGGTCCGCTATTGAATGCAGAACAGCATATTCGACGCACAAAACGTGTGCGTGGATTTGCTCACTGGATGTCCCGTTATTGTAGTGCGCCCTCTATCGCTGCATCAGCGCTAACCCCTCCACACAACATCGTGACGACGAATTGCGTGCCGTCGAACGCATATTACCGCAGAACTGCGGACACGTCGCGCGCCAAATGCACAGCATGCTTGAGATTTTGCACGACGGTGAGTAAATATTTGGACTATTATTAGGCCTATAATCTTGGTTTAGTGATTTATCCACCACCTTGCACCTTCACGTAATTTTCACCGCTAAATTTAAGAAGGCAGCGTCAGTCATGGGCAGTAATAATGTCAGAAGCAAACGCCGACGAGTCCGCAATTGCTGGTAACAACATTTACTTCAAAGGTTCAGTAAGTATTGATGCACGGACCTTAGGTCCGTGATTGATGTAAGATGGCATGTCCAGTGATTGGATATGTTATATGTGGTGATCCTGGCGAGTCACATTTTTTATCTCATTTTTGTGATTTAGTAAAGATTCCCTACTGGCGATGCGACTGGCACCAGTTTCAAGTTTTGTTTTTCGCTGTTGAGAATGATTTTGAATTTGTACAGTTCCTTATAACAGAGCGTGGTATGAGTTGTTGTGTAGTACCAGAATAATCCATGATTTTTTAAGTAAGTTTCACTTATCTAACATTTTATGGCAGGGAGAGTAAATGCTGAAATAGCTGATGTTATTATAGCCCCATAAATGTGGCCTATTTACTGGACTGCCTCCGTAAACATAGGCCACACATCCACATGTACAAAAATCGTGTCGACTTTGCCAAATTTTGATTTTCATATTAAGGCTTAGTTTGTACTTTTTTTTGCTTTAGAAGCATACTCACCCTCTTTATAGGCTAATCAGAAAGTGCTGCCTTTGTTCAGATGTATATTTTTCGTGAAATTTCCAGATTCATTTTTACACGTTTGCGTATCAAAATTTCAACATGAAATTTCACAAAAATTAGACGTCTGAAAAAGGCAGCACTTTCTGACTAGCCTATAAAGTGGGTGAGTATGCTTCTAAAGCAAAACAATCCTACAAACTAAGCCTAAATGTGAAAATCAAAATTTGGCAAAGTCGACACAATTTTTGTACATGTGGATGTGTTGCCTATGTTTACAGAGGCAGTCCAGTAAATAGGCCACATTTATGGGGCTAATGTTATTAGTATCAAGTTGACTCTTAAGTTTTAGTTCCACATGTAGATTTTACTGTCATTACCCTCTCTGAAATGGGTGTAACAAAACTCTAAGTTCACAATAAGTGCTTATTTTTGTAGAAGGAAGGTAGGATCACGAAAATGTAATAGCAAACATTTATATTACTCACTTGGAGAATGGTATATATTTAAGTTTGTGAAATACAACATGACAGAACCATTCTGAGTTAATTACCTTGTAAATTTTACAATCTACCAACACTGAAGTACCTGCTATATATGTACACCCATTTCAAAAAAATGATATATATTTGTCATGGCTGGGGGGGGGGTCAGTTATGACAGTAAAATCTTGCAACACTGTGTGTAGCTTATACCTCTCTAACTTTACATCAGAAATCCTGTTTTATTGTGATATACCCTAGTCTACATAAAACTACAACATGACGAACATTTCTCTCAGCAATCCACATCCTCTTTAATACAGGAAAACGAGAAATGCGGCTCTTGAGGAATATACACACAAAATGGCAGCATTTCAAAAAGGAACTCAGTTATGAGATCAAAAGCTATTTACAATTTGAAATCCCTAAAAAAATCTTTTGGGGTAAATTGAGAAAATGGAAAGAATTCCATATCTCACCGCCACTTTTCCCCCTTAATTTAATATGACTTGACAACTACCAAGAAGAGAAAATCTGCTGAAAAAACACCAATTTAGGAGTGGGACAATTTCAAGTTTTTCTTTGAAAATACTTTTCAGTCATGGCCCATAGACTTTGTACATGAGGTGTAAGGTGGCTGTGAGATATGGAATTCTTTCTTTAAAATTATCTGTTTAAACTCTTCAGAAGTTATTGTTTATTTTGGAAAGTCTTTTTTTTTTACAGAGCCCACATGCTCCTCAGACAGCCATCATGAACACCAGGACAACTCAAACTCATGTAAGAATATAGATTATTGTAGCTTAATTGTTGAATGTGTCCTACATATAGTTGTACAAAGCTTGGCAATAATTGGAATGTCCAAAAAGTATGTTTTTTTTTAATGCCACAAGCTGATGTTGAAAAGCCATCATATGATCAATTTCCCATAAAAACATAAAACATTTTTATATTTTGTTGATGTTCAATAAAATAATCATTAATTTGAAATTGTTTTCAGGGACCAAGAACTAGGTCTACCTCAAGAACTGCAGGTACAAAAAGAAGGGATTTTGAAAAATATCTGGGGAGGGATCAAGATCAGGAGGGATTTGAGGCAAAATTCATCAGCGAAGAAATCGGTAAGTATTTTGACTAAAACTTTACATTTTTTACAAAGTAAATTTAAATCAGAGGAAACTGGACCAAATTGATTCTTTATTCTTTTCATAGTACTACTGCAGTCATATATAATGTGAAAGTGTGATGTCAACACGTAAATCGATGTCCAAAAGTGGGGGAGGGGGATGATCAAAATTTTCCAAAAAAACATCACGATCAAAAGACACAAACTTGGGGGCGTGCTTCAAAAACGTATACCATAATGTACTACTAGTACATAATGCAGAGCTAAACATGGTCATACAGCCTATGATACAAATGATATATCACATGTTTTGCAAATTATATCGCAATTTTTTTGCATTGTACAGAAAAATCTGGGGAGGATGATTCTATGGGCCATCCCCCCTGGCCAAAAAGTGGGGGGGGGGATATACATAAATATACTTCCCCCCCCCCCCGGATTTACACTCATGTGTCAACAGAAACCATTTTGTCCCATACGGAACCCATTTCATTTGAAGTTATTGGATGCACTCTTCTTGCATTTTCTTACATTTGTCATTGCTTGATCTATGTTACAGGATTTGGGGTGTTTACTACCAGGAGTTTTGACAAAGGGGACTTTCTCTTGGAATACAAAGGGGAGGTAATGTCAGAAAAAGAAGCCAGCAGCAGACACTATACCTCACGGCATAGCTACCAGTACTTTTTTCGCTGGAATGGAAAATCAATGTGGTAAGTTTTAATGAATTTAGCATCTGTTTTAATAACAGTATATTGATATCTGCAGCCAATACCCTCTGACTCCACAAGTGTAAAACTGTGGAGCTTTTTTTTCTTCTTTTTTTACACACGTGACATTGATTGGTGGCATGGGGGTGGTATTGGGGGGGGGGTGGTGGACAGTTGGCATTGATGTTACTGGAAGGGTCTGTGGGTGGGTTAGGGTATAGTATAGGGGAGCCATGTGCGGTGCCTCTGCCCCTACAAGGAACCACATCGAAAAATTGATTCAGAAGCTCGAGTGGTACAGGTTTTCCCGTAAATTGTCAAAATCATCTTTGGAGTGAATTTGTCCGTGTTATTTAGTATTTGTTGGTCCTGGAAGTGGTTGTTTTGTACTTAAGGGTGTTGTCTAATGTTTTTCGGTAGATAATTAATTTCCGTACACCTGCCATCTTTGGGTAACAGGGTGAAGTTAGGGGCGGGGAATCCGCCCCTTATGGCGTAGACTATACTTATTCAGAACAGGCATGAGAAACGAAATATATGTACTCTGCACCAACTTTGTTTATCCAGTCAGTGAAGTTGTTGGAAGTTGTGGCCACTCAGTTCATGAGACTGCAGTCAGTGAAGTTGCTAGTTGTGGTCAGTCAGCTTTTCAGGCTGCTAAAACAAAATACATATCTACATGTACTCTGCCCCACTACTTGTACTCTGAAATAGTTTTATATTTCATCAAAATGTCATATTTTTTGTAAAATATAAACTGTTACTATATCATGTTTGAAAAGCTCAAGAATGTCCAAACCTGGTCCAGATAGAAACGGTGGTCACAATCAGTTGGCTATTAGAAACCTCAATGTCAAAGAAAGAAAAAAACGTACGTAAAAACCCGTACCACTGGGCACACCTTCGAAAATACGAACAAATATTTTTTTGTTGGGGGGGGGGCGCACCGGTCACTTTTGCATATGTAAATGATCGAGAAACGTGCAGGTTAAACCTGTTACGCATTGAGGGCAGCTGTGAAAAATAGTAAAAAACAAATGCAAAAGACACAAAAAACAGTTAAAAAATAAACCAACAATTTATAACTGTACAGCATAAAAAAAATCATGATCGTGACGATTTTATGGAAACACCTGTAGCACTCGTGCTTCACACTAAGTTTTTTGATGTGGTGCAAAGACAAACAGGGTCATTATGTACCAACTGAAATGGGTATTGCTCCCCTTTTCATTGCAAATCTTTTATTACTTTTATACTCTTGTTCCAAACACACAAAATGGTATTTTCGAGGAAATTATCCCTTTTCCAATTTTCGAACACTCATTTCCTGGTTTAGGAGTGACATGCTTTATGAAATATTTGGGTAGGGAAACATGGTTTAATTGATGAAAAACCTCTGCCATATTATTGTATTGGAATCACCTGAACTGCAGATATCTCTATATCGGTAACGTTTCAGACCCAGCGTACATGTATGTAGGTTACAAACTGAGGACAGTCCCCCATCATAGGTGAATTCTTATCATCTACATCGTAAGAATGAACACAACTGGGTCAAAAGTATAAGCGTGTACAAAACCACAGATCTATCATGTTTGCAAGTCCCATCTAATCAGATGTTGTTTCTCTTTATAGTATTGATGCAACTACAAACTCCAGTCTTGCCCGTCTTGTTAATGATGCTCAGCAACGTCACAAGGCATGCAATGTAAAAATTACAAAAATAGACGTTGGTCCAACAGTTCACCTTTGCTTGTTTGCCCTGAGAGACATAAAACAGGGAGAGGAATTAAGGTACGATTATCAAGTGAAGGGACTTTGGTGGAGAACAGCCTCACAACAGAAGCAACCAAGTGTGTCTCAAGCCACCACCAAAGAACAAGCTAAGGTCAGTTGTTCCACTGAAATCAGTGGAGGTCAGCCAGCCATTTGGACTGCAGACAGTGAAGCTGCAAGTTGTAGTCAACCAGTCAGTGAAGTTGCATCAAGTCGTGATCAACCAGTCAGTGAAGTTGCATCAAGTCGTGATGAACCAGTCAGTGAAGTTGTATCAAGTCGTGATCAACCAGTCAGTGAAGTTGCAGCAAGTTCTGATCAACCAGTCAGTGAAGTTGCATCAAGTCGTGATCAACCAGTCAATGAAGTTGCAGCAAGTTGTGAACCAGTCAGTGAAGTTGCAGCAAGTTGTGATGAACCAGTCACTGATAAAGTTGCAGCAAGTTGTGATGAACCAGTCAGTGAAGTTGCAGCAAGTCGTGATCAACCAGTCAGTAAAGTTGCAGCAAGTTGTAATGAACCAGTCAGTGAAGTTGCAGCAAGTCGTGATCAACCAGTCAGTGAAGTTGCAGCAAGTTGTGAACCAGTCAGTGAAGTTGCATCAAGTCGTGATCAACCAGTCAGTGAAGTTGCATCAAGTCGTGATCAACCAGTCAGTGAAGTTGCAGCAAGTTGTGAACCAGTCAGTGAAGTTGCAGCAAGTTGTGATGAACCAGTCACTGATAAAGTTGCAGCAAGTTGTGAACCAGTCAGTGCAGTTGCAGCAAGTTGTGATGAACCAGTCAGTGAAGTTGCAGCAAGTTGTGATCAACTTGTCAGTGAAGTTGCAGCAAGTTGTGAACCAGTCAGTGAAGTTGCAGCAGGTTGTGATCAACCAGTCAAAGAAGTTGCAGCAAGTTGTGAACCAGTCAGTGAAGTTGCAGCAAGTTGTGATGAACCAGTCAGTGAAGTTGCAGCAAGTTGTGATGAACCAGTCAGTAAAGTTGCAGCAAGTTGTGAACCAGTCAGTGAAGTTGCAGCAAGTTGTGATCAAAAGGTTGCAGCAAGATGTGATCAATCAGTCAGTGAAGTTGTTGGAAGTTGTGGTTACTTGGTTCTTGATACTGCAGTCAGTGAAGTTGCCGGCTGTGGTCAGTCAGCTTTTCATACGAGTGAAGTAGTTGTCACAAGTAGCCAACAAGTCATTGATGTTGCAGCAAGTTGTGATGAACCAGTCAGTGCAGTTGCAGCAATATGTGATCATCCAGTCAGTGAAGTTGTCGGAAGTTGTGGCCACTCTGTTCATGAGACTGCAGTCAGTGAAGTTGCTAGTTGTGGTCAGTCAGCTTTTCTTGGCAGTGAAGTAGTTGTCGACAGTAGTCAAGCAGCAGGTCAGATTTCAATAAATGAAGTTGTTTCCAGTTGTGGTCAGTCAGGTATTGATAGGGAAGCAGCTGCCAGTGTTGAAGCTACATTAAGTGATGTTGAAAGCATGGTCACATCGACACAATTTGATGATAATGATCCTAATTATGAAAGTGAATCGGTAGATACTGCTTCTGATTCGGATGAAAGCTTTGTACTTGAGTCTGATGCTTTGTCAGAGGAGTTCTGTGTTATACCCTTGCCTCAAAGGAGAGTGTTGGCCAATAACAACAGTGCAGAGTCGACCAGTGAAACTGTTGATGATTCATCCTCTGTTGGTCCTCAAACTGCTGATAGCACTGATACTACTTCCATAAAGGTTATGCGTACCGACAATAACAAAGGCAAACGGAAGTGGGATAAAGGTGCATACTGCCCCTTTTGCCATACATATCAGATGAAACTACCGCGACATCTTAGGGAAGTGAAAGCACATAAACAGGAGCCACAAGTCATTCAGTGGAAAGCCACCACAGATCTGAAGTTAAAGGAGAAAAGGCTAACCAAAATAAGAAATCTGGGCAATTACCATCACAATGCTGAAGTTCTCCTAATGAATAAAGGTACAATCATACCAGTTTACAGGCCTAACTTTGAAGCAGACTACAGACACTACTTGCCCTGCAGTGATTGCAAAGGTTACTTTGCCAAAGGGGACCTCTGGAAACATGGCTGTAAGCTAAGGGAAGATCAGGAAGATGATGAGAATGAGGATCAACCGCCAAGAAAGAAGAAGAGGCGAGATTTTGTCAGATTAGGCAGATGTATGCTTCCTACGTCTGATAGGAGTGAAAAGGTGCAGAAAATGTATGCAGGCCTTAGGGAAGATGAGGAAGGGGTTTCCTGTTTCATAAAGGGAGACCCACTCGTAAGAAAGTTGGCCGAAAAACTTACCTTCAAGTTGGGTCATGATGAAGAACAATTTTCCAATGTTAGGGGGAAACTTCGTGAAGTTGGTAGAATGGTTCTGACGTACAGAGAAAAAACACATGAAAAGAATGCATCACTGAAAGATCTTATCCACCCTCGGAAGTTTCATGATGTAATATCTGCAACAAGAAAAACGGCAGGATTTGATACAGTCATCTCTTCCGCACCCCAAGCCTGGCCCTAAAAATTGGGCACACACTGAAAAAAGCTGCTGGAATTCTCCTGGGAGAAGCCATCAGCAATGAGGATGAGGCCCTTGAAAAAAGAGCTGCAGCATTTATTAAGCTGTGTGACCTTAACTGGGAAGACATGGTTTCAACTCATGCACTAAGGACATTGACTGAAAACAAGAGAAACAATCCAAAATATCTCCCTGTGACACGTGATGTTGTCAAGCTTACATCATACCTGAAAGGACAGGTAGAACAGGAGAAGAAAAAGCTGTGCAACCCGGTAGATGTAGCTCATGTAAAAGATGTCTACAGACAGTTGGCTGAAGTGACTTTGACTTCAGTTTTGGTGTTCAACAGGAAGAGATCTGGTGAGGTGTCCAAAATGAAGTTGTCCGACTTTGATAAGTGTAAGAAAGGTGAAGAAGGCATCATGATGGAAGGCTTGTCAGGGTGGGAGAAGGAGTTGTGCAAAATTGTCTGGCGCATGGAGATCGTCGGGAAGAGAGGAAGGACTGTACCAGTGCTCCTGACAGAGGACTTGAAACAAAGTATGGACCTTCTCAAGTGCAAAAGAGAACAGGCTGGTGTAATGAATGGAAATAAATTCATGTTTCCAGTCCAGAGTTCCCTAGGCCATATCAGAGGTTCTGATGTTCTTCGTAAACATGCAGGATTATGTGGAGCTAGCAAGCCTGAGTACCTTAGGTCAACTCGTTTACGTAAGCACATCGGCACTGTTGCACAAGTAATGAACTTGAGGGATCATGAGCAGGACATACTGGCTAATTTCATGGGTCATGATATCAGGGTTCATAGGGAGTTTTATCGCCTCCCGGAGCAAACACTACAGGTCGCAAAGGTTTCGAAGGTGCTACTTCAGATGGAAAAGGGAAACCTGTCGAGCCTGGCTGGAAGCAGTCTTGATGAGATCCGTGTAGAGGAAGAAGAAGGTAAATTTTCTTCAGTCTATCAAGCCTTTTAGAACATGTTTGGGTAAAATAACTCTGAAATGGTCTCCTCCGTAATCTTTTTTTCCTCTGAAGTTAGAACATGTTTTTTCCATTACCATGTATAGTAGTCTAATGTTTTATGCCTGCTGGAAATGAAGCTTTGTACATTATCTACAGGATGTCAATTTTCAGGTAATATTTGTTGAGAAATGCATGATCCTTATTTGCTTTTCAGAAGCTCCAATGGATGAACCACTACATGAGGATGTCGATCATGAGGATGAGGTGCATGTGGGGTCAAAGAAGAAGGGCAGCAGTGGCCAGAAGAAGAATTCACACCACCAGGGAGAAGAACCAACCGGAGGTAAGTTTGAAATGTATCACTTGGAGACACCAGCTTAGTCAATCTTGTCAGTTTTACTACACAAAGTGATCTTCATCTTGACCCTTGTCTTGACCTATGGGTTAATGAAAATGTGTGGCACTGAAAAACACACAAAAAATGACATTCACATAAAGTCTTGATGCTTTTCACACAATGTGCATGTTATTTCCGTGTGTTTTTCAGTACTAGGAATTAACACATAGGTCAAAGACAAGGGTCATCACCTTGCATAGTGAAAACCATTGTTGGCGCATGGCTATAGTATGGCAGTAGTCAAAGCCTGGATAATGGTTTTTACTTGTGTAGTTGAGCTGCTAATTAATGGTCATTTTTTGCCAAATCGTGCATTTTGTTATGAAAGCATGACATTTGGCACGTGGGCTCAGTCTAGACAAGAAATTACAGGATCTTGCCTATTCCAGGGGTGTTTGCCTGATTTTGAAAAAAAAGGGCGGACAAAATTCCACTCGGAAAACCTCGAACCATTTTTCAGTTAGCTGCCTGCTGCAACGTTTCTGATTTTCAACCCTACAATAATAGTTGTCTTTATTCCTACAAAGGGGTAAATAAAAATGACCTCAGTCTGAAAATTGCCTTTTCAAAGTGTATACAACGGTTTACAGGTTTTTTTTTCTTCAATGTACATGCAGTTTGTGCCTTAATGAAATTGAATGAAATAAATGCCACAGCCACAAAATTGTGGAAAAAGCAGTGCCTATTAAAAGGTGAACAAGTTTTACTTTATTTCTAAGTTTATTGCTATTTAGAACAGGAAAAAAATTAAAGATAGTTTTTTGAGTTGGTATTTTGTTTGTCCTTTTTCTTTGAAAAACATGCCTTTTCCCCCAAATAGAAAAGATCCAACATGGGTCCAAATCTTAAAATGTTCTCTCGCCTATTCTGAGCCTGCATGCTAAACATCATGCAGTGTGTTCAGGTCTCCAGTATGCAAGTTAGTTAGCTGGGGTCAGCAACTTCATAACAATGTCTCCAGTTTTACTTGGCAAGGTGATCTCTGAAAATCTTTATCTTGCCCCTTGGCCTTACCAATGTACATAAAGGAAAAACCTAATGCCTTTCACACCCTTGAGGTATGTTTCATGCCTGTCAGAATTTAAGCCTTGTATATTCTCTACCAAAGTTGAATATATTTGTTGAGATCATCCCAAGGAGTTACTAATCCATGTTTGCTTTTCAAAATCTCCAATGGATGAACCACTAGGTGATGAAGATGTCGATCATGACGATGAGAGGCACGTGGGCTCAAAGAAGAAGGGCAGCAGTGGCCAGAAGAAGAATTCACACCACCAGGGAGAAGAACCAACCGGAGGTAAGTTTGAAATGTATCACTTAGAGACACCAGCTTAGTAACAATCTTGTCAGTTTTACTACACAAAGTGATCTTCATCTTGACCCTTGTCTTGACCTATGGGTTAATGAAAATGTGTGGCACTGAAAAACACACAAAAAATGACATTCACAATGTGTAAACAACATAAAGTCTTGATGCTTTTCACACAATGTGCATGTTATTTTCGTGTGTTTTTCAGTACTAGGAATTAACACATAGGTCAAAGACAAGGGTCATCACCTTGCATAGTGAAAACCATTGTTGGCGCATGGCTATGGTATGGCAGTAGTCAAAGCCTGGAAAATGGTTTTTACTTGTGTAGTGGAGCTGCTAATTAATAGTCATTTTTTGCCAATTAGTGCATTTTGTGATGAAAGCATGACATTTGGCACGTGGGCTCAGTCTAGACAAGAAATTACAGGATCTTGCCTATTCCAGGGGTGTTTGCCTGATTTTGAAAAAAGAGGGCAGACAAAATTCCACTTGGAAAACCTTGAACCATTTTTCAGTTAGCTGCCTGCTGCAACGTTTCTGATTTTCAACCCTACAATAATAGTTGTCTTTGTTCCTAAAAAGGGGTAAATAAAAATAACCTTAGTCTAAAAATTGCCTTTTCAAAGTGTATACAGCATGTACAGGTTTTGTTTTTTTCAATGTACATGCAGTTTGTGCCTTAATGAAATTGAATGACCAATAAACTGCCCCTTGAGAAATACATGCCACAGCCACAAAATGGTGGAAAAAGCAGTGCCTATTAAAAGGTGAACAAGTTTTACTTTATTTCTAAGTTTATTGCTATTTAGAACAGGAAAAATTAGTGTTGAAGATACATGTAGTTTTTTGAGTTGGTTTTTTGTTTGTCCTTTTTTTTTTTAAAACATGCCTTTTCCCCAACATAGAAAGGATCCAACATGGGTCCGAATCTTAAAATGTTCTCTCGCCTATTCTGAGCCCGCATGCTAAACATCATGCAGTGTGTTCAGGTCTCCAGTATGCAAGTTAGTTAGCTGGGGTCAGCAACTTCATAACAATGTCTCCAGTTTTACTTGGCAAGGTGATCTCTGAAAATCTTTATCTTGCCCCTTGGCCTTACCAATGTACATAAAGGAAAAACCTAATGCCTTTCACACCCTTGAGGTATGTTTCATGCCTGTCAGAATTTAAGCCTTGTATATTCTCTACCAAAGTTGAATATATTTGTTGAGATCATCCCAAGGAGTTACTAATCCATGTTTGCTTTTCAAAATCTCCAATGGATGAACCACTAGGTGATGAAGATGTCGATCATGACGATGAGAGGCACGTGGGCTCAAAGAAGAAGGGCAGCAGTGGCCAGAAGAAGAATTCACACCACCAGGGAGAAGAACCAACCGGAGGTAAGTTTGAAATGTATCACTTGGAGACACCAGCTTAGTAACAATCTTGTCAGTTTTACTACA